GAAACATTGTGTACGTGGGAAGGGATCGTGACAACCTTTCTCGTGGATGTTGACATGTGGGCGAAATGATACTAAATGATTCCCTGCCTTTAACTCATCAAAATATCGGGCTTACTTCCCTCATGATTGGGTCGATTGGATGGTTTCACAGAGTTGTGAGTGTGATTTTGCCCGATAAAGGTGTTTTCAATTCTCGGTTTGTTTTAATTCACTGGAAACTAAACTAATCAAGGTGTGCAATTTTGAAACTCTTCTTGTAAACGTGTGTTCTGGAATTTGGTGACCCCGGCAAATTATGCAAAAACAAAGAAATCTAAAACGGCTATTTTGTTGCTATTGATTGTTCTGGTACTGAATGAGGCTCGCTAGAGTGTGCTTTTAAAATATCGACCTCAGAATTTTATGTAATTTTTATGGATAAGCTTTTGTCAGACACTGAAAGTCTGCTTCTGGCACGAGTCATAACATCACCACACCCATGCCCACTTCGCGTGATTCCTCTGATTGGCTTTGCTGCCAAAGGCCCTGGTTTTCAGCTACTCACTGTCCCCTTCCTTCTCCGTCCGTGTCCCGATTCTCAACCCGGGGCATACCTAAGCACCACACCGCTCACCAGCCAATCGATAAAAACCTAGGCCAATATCTCAAAGTGTTGCGCATACCAAGCTACTGTCTACGTACGGTCCACGAATTTTTAAGAACTTTAAGTACAGGGTGAGTTTGAAGGGACTAGGCCGTAAAATGTGATTCGTTCAGATAATAAATTTTATTGGTATTCGGGGTAGACATTATTGAAAAGTCACACTGGGCTTGAACTGTTAACCACGTTCTTTAAGACACTTAGAAGTACGATAAGGAATTGAGTAGCGTGCAAGTCAGAGTCTTAGTTGCATTTTGCGCAAAACTCCACCAATTCCAACACCAACAAAGGTGTAGAATAGTCACCGGTTCTCGCCGTAGATTGGGATTTTCTCTGGAACAGCGACATTCACTCAACAGAACCGGTGAATGGTATGAATGGAGTTATCTTTATTCACTAAGATTCAGTGAGTGTGGGAGATCTGGTGTCAACTAGGCATTTGTTCAAAACTATTACATTTGATCCTTGAGAGATATCAATTTCTTATGAACATCATTGTGGTAGTTTTCGCTGTCTACAAGCCAAGACAGCTTTCCAGTCTGATTGCTTTTAAGGGAACAAACAGACTGGCCTTCTACCTCTTGAAAGAGTAGTGAATGTGACGAGCTATTGCGTTCCATTTATGTTTGGTGGGTGTTTTTCTTAAATCGACACCATGTCTCACTCTTGTTTCAAGTTCGGTAAAACGCTTTGAAAAATAAATCACAATTATTTGTTTGAGAATTGTTGATTATTCGCAGCTGCCATTGCTGGGGAACGATTTTCAATCAGAAACAGAAACACAACTACAAAGTACTAACGAGTCCACATTAACTGCCTTAGTCAGCAGCTGAAAAAATAGCTGCTAGAAATTTTAAGAATAAGCTAGTACTGTCCGACCAGCCACCACTTCTGACACTCGCCGAGACCGCTCAGATAGTTTCAGGATGACTGAAAGATAATACCCTTTAAACTCGTGAAAAAATCGATTCTTTCGACGTGGTGTAGCACCTTATATACTGACATTGAAAAAGAATCCTAGATTTGTTAAGGTGGATCTAATTCTAATGCCATTGGTTGAATACCCTAAAACGCTGTTCTTTCCACATGCGAATGCGTGTGACTTCGCTCACCGGATTCCGAGACTCCACGGTGGACTTACGGGTCTTTTTTCCCAAATCAAGGCAACAAAACTGTAAAACGGGCCTAATGTTTAGCATCTAATTTAAAGACACCTATTTGATAAACCATGTGAATTGCAAGATGCGACAAGTTTTACTAATATGAGTGGACTTTCGGTTATAGCTTCAAACTTAAATGGTTGCACAGTGTATACCACAGATTTGGATGCGAGATTGCGTATTGCACATAACCACGAATTCGGACTTGGACTTCGACCTGTTGGGTCCCATGAACAAGCCATTCACCTCCTAACTACGAAGCTATTCCACGCAGGAAATGAAACTGGGTCCAGAACAAGCCGCACGGCCGCGCCAAGATTTACATTTATGTTGCGAAATGTGGGCATTCGGAAAATCAATTTCAAACGTCGCAATAACCATTGGACTTTTGTAACAGGTGATGTACTTTAGACTTCTGACTCCATGGGCGACATAGAAGACATTAATGGTAATATGGTTAACTGGTTTTTGTGTTCATGTTTTTCATTTGCACACTGGCTTCACAGAATCTTTCTCAGAACCACTTGAACCACTTCTGGCACTTCTAAGAGTTAGTTGAATGCTTGCCTCACGAAGCTCTCTTGCATTCCGCTACATGAATTCACAAGTACTCACATTGAAAAAACCTAACCTTGAGACAAATTTTCGTATATTTTTCGTGACTTCTGCTAAGTGATAAACTAAAGCTGAGTTAACGCAATTATGATTGAAGTGGGATGAGTGCAAAAATATTTTGCAACCATCAAAATCACTGGGAATTTGAAGGAACAGACGGAGAAGGCAGGTTTCCACAGCAGACAACAAGTGAAGGCACTCTATCTCAACACTGTGCCTGTTTTGACAATTTTCGAGGACTTTTTAAAGTAGCCTTGGCAGAAGTATGTGCTAAAAATTGGAGACTATAATGCCACTCAGTTTGTTTAAAAGGGAGCATTGTGAGAGTGTTTGAATTGGCTGAGATGCATGCGAGGCAATTAAGTAATTATTAATTGGTTTGGTGAGCTGTTTAGAAACCTTATTAAATCGCGACGCGCCACTTCGGCTTTCCTCCGATTGGCTGGCCTGTTCTTTTAAAATTTAATTTAACATGTGAAACATCACTTGAAATGAAAGTAATTGGTTATTTTGCAGATCACTTTAAACCAAATTACGGCATCTCAAAACAGTGGTTCTGGGTGGTTTTAAGCATGAAAACAACAATGCAAGACCTCGGAAATTGGTGCATTACTAAAATTTTAATAATGAGTTTACCCGAAAAGGCATTATTTTGAAGGCCAAAATTGCTCATGGTTCGGGCAAAAACGTAAAATTGGTGCCGTTTTATTCACAGAGCTGCGTTTAGATACACAGGCAAGTTTGCAGCTCACCTGCAAGTCAAGCAGCGACAGGGTCTTAAAAATTAAACTCCTTTTTAATTGTCTTAGTTTTCAACATTCAGACACGGTCACAAAATATTCACAGAATATGAAGATTCACTTTGGGCGAGAATGCCATTCACAAGTCAGTAACCATTGAATTTGTGTGTTACATTGCCAAACAATTTGGCAGATGCACACATGCACTATCAGCCGAAGCACGGGAGCTCAACACAACTTACCCGTGACCTTTCACAGATCACGTAAACGTGTTCCAGGAGGCCATGTTTCTAATCAACCTGGGTGACAGACAGGATACGATTCTGCGGCATTAACCACGTCGATGAACCTCTGCGTGTTAATGCGAGACTCACAAGGCTGTCGACACTTTTCTCTGCATGCTAAATTTCCCATGGATGAATCCAAGTGGAAGACTATGAAAACGCTGGTTATTTGGATTGTTTTAAAACCATGACGGATGAAGTCTGCTGTGACTTTTTAAATAATGAGAATCTCGGTAGCTTGGGTGAATTAAATAAGGCAGTAATATTCAACGAGGTATCTAGATTGCACATTCAAATTACTTTGATGCCAAAGAAGAAAACGCATTATTAGTCAACGGCCGAAGTAGTCAGTCAAAGTGCATCCAACGACCGTGCTTTCCTTTTCATGTACGACTCTTGAAGGCATGATTGGCATCAGAGGGGTAAATCCCATCTATCTGCTTTTATGATGTTGGAGAGGAATTGAAGGAATGCTTTATTATTTTAGTGCTAACTGTTGCTTAATTATAGGACAGACCTTTAACAGGGCCTGGAACTCAGGTCATTGCAATCCTTATTGTAATCTATGTAAAGCTGTAAGTTAAGGGACATTTTTATCAAACACCTTTTATCAACTGCATAAATGCTAATGTGGCAACGAACTTCATCCAACGCAGGAATGGCTCCTGTAAAGCATGGTAACGTAGCCGGAGTACTCAAAGATTCTCCTACTTAAGGAACAACAATAGCATATATCGTGAACTGTGAAAGCTCTTCAACTGTCGTGAAATTGATTTGGAATCTACGTGATTTGTCAGCTCACAGTCATGGCAGCTCTACAAAGTCCCTTTGGTTTCTGGTAGATTTAAAATAAAGCCTTCACTGCAGTGTCAATGGCTAATTTTTTAATGTGCCTCAAGGAGAAATAGGTTGAAAGTTGTTATATTGCGGAACCTAAATTTGCCGCTGCTGTGTACCACAAATAGTAAAGATTTCAGGACGCAGCCATGAAGGAGCCGCGTTGGAAGTTTATCAGGTTGGAAAGGGACAATTCATCATTCGAAGAAAAAAAGTGAAACCACAAGTGGCCAAAAATGAATATTGAGAATTGCCTTCTATTCAAAGTATTATTGAAAATTCACGTCTTTTGGTAAAAATGTATTCCGAGGCCTAAGGACGCAATTTGCGCATGCCCACAGTAGATAGACGCAAATGCTTGGTGCCACTTACATGTTTGAACAAATGATTTCAAAAATGGCGAGCAATCTAAATAGTATCAGTGAAGAAACAGCACCTACGTTGATAATTAAGTGCAGGATATTCGGCCTTTAATTTGCCCTGAGATTCACACAAGTAAGCATTCGGTTGAATTTAAAGGGGGATTTTAAGGACGAGTCGGTATAGCTAAATCCACTCAGTGAAGCGGGCTTTATTGGTAATAACGTCTGTGTTGCTTTTTCTTCGCTCCACTTACCAGCGGATCGCCCTAATTTGCCTTTTAGGCTGGCAAAAAGGTGCCCCATCGGTAGCTCGTGTGGGTGAATCGTGCGCCTTTTTGCGTCGTGCGCAGCACCGGACTTGATCAGATGCCGACAGATGCTGAAAAAAGCACGATCGGCTCGCGCACAGCCCGAGGCGTCCGCTGTCGGGCTTTTTGAGCCCCAGCGCCGACGCCGAAGCAGCTACGGTCCGGGCTGGTTTTTATGCCCAACTCCTTATCCTCCTCTCCTTTAGCTGATGCCGGGCGAGCCTTCAAATCGACTGCGTTTCGCTCAGGCAGGTTAGCGTTGGCTTGGAGGAGGGGGCCGACTCTAGGCCCGCCTTCATTACTGCCTTCTTTCAATTCTATCAGACGGGTTGGAAACAATGTCGGCTTCTGAAATTTCGGTGACGCACGCCATAATAGAAGAGGAATAATAACAAGCAATGTAGACCCTCATTCGTTTATCCTAAACAAAAAATATTTAGGCAGTAAACAGTGTAAGCGATAGTGGTTAAACAGTAAATTCAAACAAAAAATACATGTACATGTATTTCGAGTAATGTCCTAACGAAACCAGTAGAGAAAAGCAAAGGGTTGTATCGAAATTGCATGACAAATTTTACACTATTGGCAATTTCAAATACTTCTCAGCTCACACGAATCATGTTTAAGCCATCACAATTACTAGAATTAAAAGGCGTTTCATTGGAAGTTGAACAATATCACATCTTATAGATGCTCTAAAAATGCGACTTTGATGGTAGAATTGAGTTTTGTGACTTGCGCCTTAAACAAACATACTATGACACAAGCTGTGTTATGATCACACGTAACTGCCTATTCCGCTTAAAATTAGGCTGTAGGTCACACAATGACCAGATACTTCGATCAGAGATCCCAATCTCCAGTCAGCAAATTGTTAGGTGGACATGTGATTCCAGTCCCTTTCAGCTAAAAACTGCAGGCTTTTATCTTGAATTTACAAAATTCGTGAGATAAGCTGTCAATGCTCGTTTTGCAGTCACGGCTTCACCGAGTCAATACATCGTGTGGTGCCTTTCAGATGGCATTACATTTTTGTTTTCTTATTTGTGCAATTTCAGGGCCTAGATTCTAGACAAGATGCCTCACCAATTTAAAATCCATCTTGCTCAGCTTCATGTTACCGAAAAATAGTTTGAGTAACAATGTGTTCTTAAGGTGACCGCCTTGAGTCTGACATCCAGAAATGATTTTCAAAGATATCCAAACTAAAAAAATGACTTTTTACAGCTTCTTTGGCCGATCACTGATAAATCACATCTTGCAGGGTTGCATGCGTTTGATAATAAAAGAAACCACAGTCCAAAGTGTCAGAGTGTGGCTGTTTATTGTCTTCAAAGCACCCATGTCGAAGCTAGTGAAACGTGAGTTTCCAGGCGCCCTCACAACTTGTCCTCTCTGAGGTGGATGGCGTTACCTGATAGGTTGTTAAGAGGTTTTATTTTCCAAATACACCCCATCATTTTTTTGCTCCGACGAAAAAGAATGTTTGTCTTGCGAACATTTCCTGTCATTTGCATAGGCACATGCGATTCTTATCTCCGACGACGAAATCAAGTCCCCAACCTTCATCATTTTACTGAATGCGCCATTTAAATCCTTTTGCACAGTCAAAATTGTGATAACGTCTACTATTGATGCCACCAGACGGTCTTGTCTGCGATAGCAATATTGCAATTGGCACCATTCCAAAATTTACCTTGTGACTTATTGGAACGTGGTGATTGTATTTGTGTAGAAATTAACTTCACCTTTATCTGGGTGATTAGCATTACAAATAATGCCTGCAGTCATGTGAAGCACAGGTCATTCCGATCTAACCTATTTCAGAAACGTTGGTCATATCGCAATTGAGGATTCCAGCTCAAAGAATCTCACAGGGTTCCAGTCCATCAAATACGTTCCGTAACTTGAGCCTATTTCAAATATCACGGTCGACGAAGACGTTTGTTGCTAACTATATTGGCTCTCGGCCATATCACCTGCCTGTCCCACTTAGTACTGGCGTTTTACGGCTGTGAGGTTAAATACTTGTTTTAGCCTATCAATAACGTTTTAAGCGGGTGCCTTCGTAGCTGCTGTCACGCTAAAAATGTTTTCATGGTTTGTGGAGTCAGTAATAGGGGTCCAATTAAAACTGTTTATTTCCGTACGAAAAGAATTTAGTGCAGTTCAATTTTTGATTGCTCCGAACACATGGTGAATGGACTACGAGTAACTCTGACACAATTTCAGTAGATGGCATTAAATCAGAACGAAATTTTACATGAAACAAATGATGCCGCCAGTTTCTTTGAGTGTTCCTTAGCCTTGCTATCATGTCCTGACAACACTTTCTCTGGTATTCACACAGCTATGGTTCATGATGGCGATGACGGATTAAAACACGATACCTCACAGTCAGCGACGAGCAGGGTGAACAAAAAGCAAATTTAAGGAATGGGAGGCCCTGTATTGTGATCTCACTGTCGAGGAAAGTGATCTAAATACACGAATCGGGCAATAAGTAACAGTATTCTATGTGTACCCTTCAAGTAACATCACACTAAGCACATACAGCAGCTCCTTTATTACGGTTTGGGTTGTCAAACTAGCTAATTTGTGTCGAGAGAATAACCAACCAGAGGCCAAAGGCAAGAAAATTATCTAAAATGACCTCCAAAACTTTTGGTTAATTGTCAAAAAGTCCCTAATCCTTTTCCATAGAATATTAGCTATCTGAAAAAAGGTTCATTGTCAGAACGTTCGCATTGTGTTAAGTAACTAACTGAGTAAGCGACAGCAAATGCTTAAACCGAAGTGTTTTGGAGTCCATCCTTCAGAGGGTGCAGTTGGAGGGGCTGAAGAAGTCGCCATTTCCAAGGCCTACGCATAATGCACATGCACCTTTAAAGTGTGTTTTGGTAAAAAAAGGGCTGCGGTGGTGAGATATCATGACCTTCAAAAGGCAAATTTCAATCTACCAGTTTTCAGTGGCCTTGCCTAAACAGTGAGCAGCAGGCTGGGTTTTCAGGCAAGTGACTTACACCATGGAATGCCAAAAGGCGATAAATTGTTTTATAATGAAAGTTAATTGAAATAGTGTCCTATTCCTACAGTAAACTTGTCTGTATTCTCCTTAATCGAATCTCGTTGGTACGGTTATTCCAAAAATAACTAACGATTTCGTAATTTGGACAATCAGTTGGTCAGTAGTATAATTGTATCATTAATTTATCCACGAAGACGCTTACAACCCTAAACGAACATTAAAAACTGGTTATATTTTTCGTGACTACTCAGAACAGTTGTGCGTCCCCAGTAAAAATGCTTGAATCTTGCGTCTTCGTAACATCCGACGATTTAAACTCCAAATTTTCCGGAATGACTTAGAAATTTCCTTGGGATCAATTAGGCCTTTTGGAAAAGCAATTGATTTATGCATCTAAACATGATTAGCACTGGCAGTATGATTTTCTGCAAGAAAACTTACCGATGGCATCTCACGCTCTTGCAGCTGGGAAATGCGCCTTCTTGCGCTCTTAGTGATCGAGGTGATCATTTGGTTCGTAGGTAGGGAAAAAAGTCTCCTGAACAAGTGATAAATGGATGTTTTCGCCCAGTGGATTCATTGTACTTTTTCCCTTCTTCGCTTTAAAATGAATAAGCTAGTGCTCAAGAAAAGAGAGCATATTTTGTGTGTCGAAGAAATTTCACTATATTTGATTTGGCTGGAAGGCCCATGCAGTATGGGACTTAATGGCGTGTACTTTAGGGCGAAGTCGTAAAAGTCGATGACAGGCATTTGTACGCTGGGGACGTTGGACATTAATTTTGGATTAAAGGGTGCACACACACGCTTGCGTGTGTGTGTGTGTATGCAAGAAGAAGCATTTCGACATATGGACTATATGCAACAAGAGTTCAGTGATAATTGTGATCCTAGTGGAGGGTGTGGAAATGATACAGGACTAGTGACGAATTACAGACTGTCTAGCGCAAATGTGCGTAAAGTAGCGAGAGACCTCTTTACAAGAAACCATCATCCCCTGGTGGCAAGTTTCTTCACTCTCTCAGTATTTATTTACTAACATTCTTAAAAGCTCCAAAAATCATTCCTATCTCAGTCCTGTGTTTGGGCCAATTATTTTCACTTTTGGATGTGCTGTAATTTGAATTTTTTCTCCTGTGGTTACAATGATAAAATCGATATATTTCTTCTCTCGTAGTTGCCGACTGCAATATCCACCGATGATCAAATGAAAAAATTCGGTTCAAAAATAATTATCAGCTGGACCGAGATCTATCAACAATCTAAAACGAGCCCAAATAAACTGATTTCGGTGTCACCATGACCTCGATGATCGCCTTAAGTGCTCATTCTCTCATGGAGGTGAATCAAAGTGCCTTCAAACAATCGCGGAAAACATCTTGACTCCTACCAAGTAGTCAAGAGACGCTTTCTTTGGGGAGTACTTTGTAAGGCCCGTATAAAGACTTCGACCACAGCGGTACGTCAAAATCAAATGCTTATAGTAAACCATATGTCGGCATGTTCAAAGATAGTTATGCAGGATAGAGCATAAAATTTGTTACCAGAAGCTGTGTCATGTATCGCTTGCACTCCACACGTAGGTCCAAGTGCTTACCTATTTTTAACCTAGGAACAGTTTGTCCACTTACCAGAGCAGAACTACTTACTGCTGCCTTATTGATACTCCGCTAATGAAGACTAGACTCGGGGTTTTGTGCGACCCAGAATTTGTAGCAGAAAGTGATTTACCAGGACCGGGATCGACTTTAATCCAGAGCCCCGAGGACTTGAGAGTACAATTCGCCGATAAAAATATATACAGGTACACGCATTTTCCATTAATTAATCCATCATTACCAAGAATCTTTCAACACAATGCCATGTCTTTGTATCGACTAACTAGAGGAAAAGCCAATCTCACCGGACAAGATCCTGAACGCAAGAACCCACTTTACGGCCAAAGGCCTTTTCCATTATCCGTGACTGCGTTTCTAGTTATTCGGCAAGGGGTAGCAAGCGTTTTCTAGGACTATCCGTCAACGGGGACATCGGTGGACAGCTTGACAGTTAGGGGAGCTGGGGTTGGGGATAGGGAGGGAGGGGTTGGGTTTGCGGTGTGGGTTTGCAGTTGTGGCCCAATTGCAGACCACGATTCGCGCCTCGGACGTCTTCACCTTCGTGGCCGTCCTCCACGTCGGTGGACGGTAAAAGGTCAAACTTAAAGAATACGGTTTAGGCTCAGGGGCTTGGTCTAAAATGCCGGAATGTGGAGTTTGCATTCTAATCAACCATTCAAATTAGTTTACTTGGGGTCTCATACACAGGGTCACCAGAATTTCAGGATGCAGGTATGAGTGAAAACAAATGATAAATAATTTGTAAGAAAATTAAGTTTGTTTTCACGTCTCCTCAAATTTCACACATGCTCTGATCAATTCCGATTTACACAAAAATAACAGAGGTGCTTTAAAAAAATTTAAAATAGTAAATTAAACCTAACCGGGAAGCATATGACCCCAGTAAAATCAAAATGACATGTTCAGTGAACGGAAGTGACTCAAATGAGATTAAAAAATGTCATTTGCCGCAAGAGCTGATGGTAAATCTAAGCGAAATACCTGCTTTCATCACAATATTCTTCAATGCAAAAGAGAAAGTGCGGTCTGTTGCTTGAATTGACTGACTGCTTCTTCTTTGCTGTGTCATGCATTTTAGCGGCCTAATTAAACAACTCATTCGGTAGTGTTTCCGGCTTCTAAAATTTCCCTATTACGGCGTCTACTGGGCACGACAGACCAACCTATTAAGGAATGCATGCCAAACTGACAGTAGACATCTTCAGTTATTCTTAAATCTCTGTTTCTGATGCTTTGCGGAAAATGCAACTTCTCAAGGAAGAAGAAGAGAAATAAAGTGGAGAATAGGCAATTATGCAAATGTATTTATCTAATCTAAAGTTATGATGGAATTTCTCGACAAATCAGGCTTGCTCGATCCAGCGGCCTCTGTCAGAATGGACATGAAGTACTCCAATTTGGCCAAATTTACTTAAATAAGTTGCCAGAAAGACTTTGAGAATTGAGAATTGAAGGAGACTGTTTGATTTGAGGGGTAAACCTCCACTAAGGCGTTGGCAGTGCAGGTAATTAAATCCACAACGGATAAAACAGTCCCACTTCAACCAGTTCGCATGTTGACAAATCAAGGAATTTCAGCAGCAAGCAATTACGTGTGGTTTGTAGACTGCCTGGAATCAGCAGTTGTCGGGGATAACTTTTCCCGAACGCTCATGTAAAAAATAACTCAAGCTGATTCGAAATCCTAGCTTCTTTACATGATGACAATATTCATGGTTTTCGGTTATTACGCCTGTCCTCCATCTCGATCTAGGGCACACAGGTTATTGTACACTTTCAGAGAATCTGAAACATGTTGGTGTGCGAAATAGCTTCCTTTTATCGTATTAAAGTACCTTTTCAGTTATCCTTTGTTCGATCAAATTCAGGTTATAACAGTATTGCACGCCTGAATTACTAGCATTAATGAGGGTTGCAAACAATTGTGTAATCCACGTACAGGGCGTCTACTCCTCGTTGAATGATCTGGGTGAACATTGTTATTGATTCAACTTGATACAAATTAATTAGATTACCACACTTTTTCTCGATTTTGATGGTTTTAGTACAATATTCAAAAACAACGGATTCAATGCAGCAAAATATGGTGTAGAATAAGTGGTATTTTAAATCCGCCTTTCAATTCAAGGGCAAAATGACACCTCTTACAAAATTCAAATCTTTAAAGGTTCCATCACAGAAAGGTGATGCATG